GCAATAGGCCAGGTTTGGCCCACGTTGCATAGTTTGACAACCCCTGCTTTATTTACCTTTTTGAGCAAATTTACAATATTAATAATAGCTGTTTTGAGGTCTTTATCTAAAATGCTATCATCTGTATAATCTTTGATTGTTCTTATTGATTGATTTTTCTCCTGGTTATGGAAATTTTCCCCCTCCTTTACATGTCTGGTAATATTTTTATTGGATGTTAGATATTGTGAATTTTATTATATATTGTTGGATGCTGGATTTTAATATATGTTTTCAAAGAGTGTTAGGTTTTGTTTGAAGGTACAGTTAAATACTAGTTTGATCCTTTGGAAGATTACTTTTATTTTTATTTATTTTTTATTTTTTTATTTTTGGGAGACAGAGTCTCACTCTGTCTCCCTGGCTCGAGTGCAGTGGTGTCATCATATTAATAGCTCACTGCAACCTCAAACTCCAGGGCTCAAGGGATCTTCCTGTCTGAGCCTCCTGAGTAGCTGGGACTACAGGCGTGCACCACCACACCTGGCTAATTTTTCTATTTTTGGTACAGACGGGGTCTCACTCCTGCTCAGGCTGGTCTCTAACTCCTGGGCTCAAGCAATCCTACCGCCTTGGCCTCTCAGAGTGCTAGGATTACAGGTGTGAGCCACTGTGCCCAGCCATTGAGGGTTACTTTTAAATTTCGTTATGGCAAATCCCAAGTACAGTCATGTATCATTGATGACAGGATATGTTGTGAGAAATGCATTGTTAGGCAGTTTTGTCATTGTGGATACATCGGAGAGCATACTTACCGAAACCTAGATGATATAGCCACTACACACGTAGGCTGTATGGTATAGCTTATTGCTCCTAGGGTACAAACCCATACAGCATGTAACTGTATTGAATACTGTAGGCAGTTGTAACAGAATGGTAAGTATTTGTGTGTCTAAACATAGGAAAAGTAGAGTAAAAATACATTATTATAATCTTATGGGACCACTGTTGTATATGCAATGTGTTGTTGACCGAAATAGCATTATGTGGTGCCTGACTGTAGTCTTTATTCTAAAATTAATTTAGCTCCACTACTAAGGTAAAACCCTTCTGAGAACTCCACCCAGTGTCCAGTGTATAATGAGGTCTCTTTACTCTTCACACTTGTGAAAACACGAATTATTCCCACCCTTTTGTGAGCACGAAGAATTGTTCAGTCTGATATTTTCTGCTGGTTCTTTCTTCAACCTCGGGTAGTTTCCTTTGACACACACGCAGATTAGTTCTTGAGTGGACCTTTGTGCAGATCTCCACAGTACCCCCTCTGTACCTTCTTTCTCTCTGGTACTCTGCCCCATAAATTCTTGCTACTTTGGCCTTCTCAGTCTCTGATCCCTATCTTCTCAACTCAGGTTGTCTACCAGGCTTCTGTTTGGTCTCCCTTTTTTCTGTTGCAGCTTGGGAACTGCCTCTGGCAGCAAGCTGGGGCGATCATAGGCTCACCTTATTTGTTTCCTTTCTCTCAAGGATCACAGTTTTGAGCTGTCTATTGTTTAGTGTCTGAAAATTGTTGTTTCATAGATTTTGTCTGCTTCTCTAGGTTATGATTGCAGTGCAATTCCTGTACCAGTTAATCCTTTGTGGACAGAAGTAGAAATCCCTTCTATTCATGCTCCTCAGACTTTAATTCCCAGCCCTATTCTGAAACTGATTTTTACGTTTTTCTCCAACCCAATATTAGCATTTGAAATGGTTGATCACTCCCTTTTTCTTGAAAAAAATTCTTCACTTGGCTTCTTGGAACCATTTTCTCTTGATTTTACACGCACCTCCTTGGTGACTTCCTCTCAGTCTTTTTTGCTGCATCCTCCTCATCTTTGTAATTTCTAAGCTTTGGAGAATCCCAGAACTCAGTCCTGGGACCTTTTTCCTCCTGTATCTATACTCAGTCCCTGATGTGATCTAGTCCCATGATCTTTCAAATCTTCTGTAGTCTGACAACTCCTGGGTTGATATCTGAGTTCTGAGCTTTCTCATGTACTCCAGATTCATGTCTATTTGCCTATTGATGTGGGTCATGGATGGGCTTGCATACCTGGATGTCTTGATGTGTCCAAAACTGCATTCTTGATTGCCTCATGAAAAAAATAAAACATATAAACATCAATAACCAAAACCTTGATCTGAATCTAGTCTTCTCCACTTCAATAAATGGTAACCCCATTCTTCCCAGTGCTCATCCAATCAGTCAAGAAATCATTTCAGCTGCTCTTTTGAACTATACGTTGGGTCCAGTAACTTGTAATCACTTGAGCTATTACTTCCCTAGGTCAGGTCACTACCAGTTCTTGTCTAGACTGCTGCACTAGCTGACCTCCTTCCTTTCACTCTTGCCACATCTATAGCCTCTTCTCCATTTGGCAGCTAGAGCAATCCTTCATAAAAAGAAGTCAGATCATATCAGTCCTGCTCCTAGGCTTCCCATTTTACTAAATAAAATCTAAATAAAGTAATACAGACCTAAAGGTCCTATGTGAGCTCAGCCTTGGCTAATTCTCTGACCTTATTTCCTATTATTCTCCCTCTTGCTCCCTGTGTTCCAGCCACAGAAACCTCTTTGCTGTTCCTCAAACACACCAGGTATCTTCCCATATCTGGACTTTTGCACTGCTTATAATTCCGTATTCCTGTGTGCTATTCCACTGGATATCCACATGGTTCATTTTCTCATCCCTTTAAGCCTTTGCTCAAATGTCACCTTATTTGTGAGGCTTTGTCAGACCACCCTACATAAAATAGCACTTGTCCCACCTGTCACGTTCTGTTCCCTCTGCTTCACTTTTCTTTAGAGCACTTATTACCTGATAAATAATGTATATTTATTTGTTTGTCTTCCTTAGTAGAGTGTAAACTCCATGAGGGAAGGGTTTTCCTTTTATTTTGGGTAGTTTTTGTTCATTGCTGTATCCTTAGCACCCAGAATGGTGCCTGGCATATAGTTGGTCCTCAATAAATAATTGTTAAATGAATGAATCTTAAGTGCATCTTTTGAAAGGAATACTTTTTATAAAAAGATATCCACTAGATGGCATTGTTTTCAAACTTTATGTAATTAATGTCTGGGAGCAAAAGATAGGCTCTTTTCTCTTTCTTGCCCTAAACAAAAAAGATCTTTGTGATGAAGATTGTTACAGAAGTTACTATGATTAATGTGAGGCATATGGAATATTACATTTATATTTGGTTTTTGATTTATATTTTTTTCAGATTTTTCTAAAATAAAAAACATTTGGAGAAACTTAGAAAATTATAGCATATTGGTGTGTAAGTAACTATTCCATACGGTTACTTAGCATGGTAACTGTGAACAAAGGTAGTTCATGTTCATTCATTGGCCACCACTCCTGCTGAGTGGTCCTATTGGAATGAGAAAGCAGCAATAAGTTCCAGAGTCTTTCACCACTCAAGCCCCTACCTGACATTCAGCCCAGTGCTGGAAGGCAGAAAATTGTGTCAGCTGTTCAGTTGTTGTTGCCAATGAGCTAGGTACTCTCAATAAGGTTCCAAATCAACTGGACACGCAAATTTTGAAAAACTTCTGTCTTTCTGGTAGATGTTGCCATACCTATCCTATTAAAAATTGGTGAGTTTCAAATGCCAGAGCTTTTTTGCTGACTTCTCTGACTAGCACTAAACTCAGCAAATAGTTGCCCTAATTAAAAAATTTACACACTTCCTCCAAATCCTCAGACTTTACCTGTTCCTCCTATGCCAGTGCCATCTCATTTCTTCCTCTTCCTCACTTACCTCATTTCCTTCTTCCATTTCAATCCCTGTCCTCTCTTACACACTTTTCCTGGATGATCCTTTGGCTCTTTTTGTTCTCACTCTTTACACCTCTTTTGGTACTATTACTTGCTCCTGAAGTATTTTTTCCTCTTCCTGTTCAACCTAATTATGTTTTTTTCTTTTCAAATTGCTCAAAAATATATTTTAAAAAAATTGTTGACAGGTTTCTTTTATTTCTCTCTTCTCTTTTCCTGTTTTAGGTTTTCCCCTTTCATTTCTGATTACAGCATATGTAAGCGACTCATTTTGTTTATCTCTTTAAAGTTCCCAGCCTCTTCTCAGAACTCTTTAACTATTTAGAAATGAAAACACTGTTCTTTTGTGCTTTTGAGTCTCTAAATGGAACATAAAATATAGGATGGTTTTTGTGTTTACAGCCTCTCCTCCCAGTCCCCTTTGGATGGTTAAGTACTAGGGCTGGTAAAGAGTCATTTTAAATGGGAGACAGTTACACTCGAAGAGTTATATTTTTAACATTTTAACCAGAAATATTTGAAATTTCTTGTACTGTTCTGCATATCTTATAATACTAATAATGTTAGTTGTCTCTGTTTCAATGTGTCACTCTCCTGTGCTTGGCCTACTCCATGTTAGATTTGTGTTTAGAAAATCATTTTTTGGTTACTAAGAAACTATTGGATAGCATTAATTTATTTAGATAATTAACTTTCAGGTTACTAAGAAACTATTGCATAGCACTTATTCGTATGAATTAAGTTTCAGTTGAGAAAGCATATTTTTCTGGGATGAGATGTGGAGACTTACTGATATCTGATTATTAGAACGATAATATGATATTTGTTCCAATGTACTTCTTTCAAGAAAATGAAAGCATTTTTCTTATTTACTAAACAGTCTTATAGTTTTTAGTCAAAATGTCATTTATGAAAAACATATTTAATTCCAGAAAGATAAATCTCAGAGACATTGTTTCTTGCTCAAAATCAGATGAGATCCAAAGCCCTAGCTGGTCTCATGCTCTGACTGCTAACCTGTGTTAGTGCTTAAAAAGGAGAGCTTACATTTTAAGCTTAAATATTAAGCCATTTTGCATATACCTTCTCTATTGATAAGGCTTATGAGTTTTCCAGGTAATTCATTAGAGGTTCAACAGTGTGGCTTTAAATATCATTGACTATTTTCGTTTGTGCTATTCCTCCTCCCCCCCACAGATTGGTTGAGATAGCAGAATCCCGTTTTCCCAGATATTTTAATACTGAAGAAAAATTACTTTTGACGAGTAGTAAAGTTCATCTTTATCGGGAACTTAGCTGTGATGAAGTCCTACAAAGGTATGCTGTTTTAGATTTTGATATTTTGGTAATGCTTTGAAGATTTATGTTTTATTTTTCATGTTTTCAGTGCCTGAGTAAAAAAAAAAATCCTTATATATTAGAATTATGGGAAACAAGTATTTCGGTATTCTTCTTTATTTGCTTTAGCCTTTTGGATGACATCTTTCTTTAAAAATGAAAAAAATATTAAATGAATAAAATGTTTTAGATTTAGTTAATTATTTAAGTTGTATATTAATTATCTATTGTTCCATTAACAAATTGTCTCAAAGTTAAGCAACTTAAAACAGCAAACATGTTATCTCATACAGTTTCTAAGGGTTAAGTATCTGGGAGTGGCTTACCTGGGTGTTTTTAGCCCAAGGTGACTCAAGAAGTTGTAGTCAAGCTGGTGGCCAGGATTGTAGTCATTTCAAGGCTTTCCTGGGGCTGGAGTATCTGCTTCTAAACTCACTCAAGTAGTTGTTGGAAGGCCTCTTGCTGGGTACTGACAGGAGGCCTTTGTTCCTCACCACGTGGACCTCTCCATAAATCACAACAGAACAACTTGCTTCCCCCAGAGTCATTGATCTGAGAGAGAGAGTGGGCAAGTGAAAGAGTATCCAAGATGTGAGCCATAGTCTTTTATAACCTACTCTCAGAAATGATGTACCATCATTTTGTCATATGCTATAGCCACACAGATCAGCTCTGGTACAGTGTGGGAGGTGTCTGCACAAGGATGTGAAATACCAGGAGGTGGGAGTAAATGGGGGCCATTTGAGGACTGGCTACCGCAAGTAGTTTTACTCTAAAACTGGAAGCTTTAGCATTATCATGGGAGAACCAACGAGATTCTGAATCTACACAAAAACATTTCGCTTTGTTTCCAGAAGAATGCAATATGTATAGAGGAGCTGAAAATAAGTATGTTTACTGAATTCTTACAGTCATTACTGTAACTTAGGGAAGAACAATTTGTTGTTTTTAATTTGATTAACCTTTTCAATACTCTATTTGTTATATCTTAGGTTCATCGACTATTTTATAAATTCTATTTTTGTAGGATTGAATCTTTGGAGGAAGAAATTATTTCAAAAGGAGTTAAACTTGTGATTATTGACTCTGTTGCTTCTGTGGTCAGAAAGGAGTTTGATACACAACTTCAAGGCAATTTGAAAGAAAGAAACAAATTCTTGGCAAGAGAAGCATCCTCACTAAAGTATTTGGCTGAGGAATTTTCAATCCCAGTAAGTTTTTCTTTTTTCTCTTTTTCCTTTTCCTTTCTTTTCTTTCTTTTATATTAAGTTTACTGACTTACAATGTCAAGTAACAAAATTAGAGGAAAATGTAAAACAGATGACTTTTTAAAGGTATTACCGTCTAATTGCTGTAACAAATATCATCATCATCTTAAATTAGTTCGTCTGCTGAGATTATTTTATTCTTTTCATAATTTGTGTCTGGAGCAGATTTAAATGTTATTTTAGAAGGTTCTTACAGTTACTCCTTTTCTTCCTCCTCATAGTTTACTCTTTGTGTATGTTTTATATCACATTTGTTACACTGTGATAAATATTAAGTAGTAAAACTTTATGAAATTGCCTAGATCATGTAATCCCAGCACATTGAAGACCAAGGCGGGAGGATTGCTTGAGGCCAGGAGTTTGAGACCAGCCTGGGTAACATAGGCAGATCCCATTTAAAAAAAAAAAAAAAATAGGGTGGGGTGGCACATGCCTATAGTCCCAGCAGCCTTTGAGCCTGGTAGTTGGAGGATGCAGTGAGTTGTGATTGTGCCATTGCACTACAGTCTGGGTGACAGAGTGAGACCCTGTTTCAAAAAATATATTGAAAAAAAAAAAAAGGAAATTGCCTAGGTCTTTCTCTATGCAATTTTTTTTTTTTTTTGAAACAGGGTCTCATTCTGTTGCCTTGGCTAGAGTGCAGTCATCATAGCTCACTGCAACCTTAAACTCCTGGGCTAAAGTGATCCTCCTGCCTCAGCCTCCTGAGTAGCTGGGACTACAAGCACGCACCACTGTGCCAGGCTGATTTTTCTTTTTTTTGTAGAGATGGGTCTCACTCTTGCTCAGGGTGGTCTTAAACTTCTAGCCTCAAGCAGTCCTCCCACCTTGGCCTCCCAAAGTGCTAGGATTATAGGCCTGTATCATCGTGCTGGGCCTATGCAATTTTTTTTTTACTGCAGTGAATTTTGTAAGTATTTTAAGTTTAGATATTGTGTTATTGTGTTCAATGCTGTTTTGTATACGGTAGGATTCGGTTTGCTTCAAACGGTGAGAGGGATTTTTCAATGATAGTAATGAAAGTGCCGTAAGAAAACCTTGAAAGATTATTGTTGGCATAGATTTCAGTAGTAAGCATTGTGATCAGGATATCTGAAGATGAGGGGATATTGCAAGAGCTTATGGTGTATTAGTTATAAGTCATAAGTGTGTACTGAGTTATACTCCGATCTGCAGTGTGCAGGAGAGTTCCACTTGTTCCATAGCCTCACCAATATTCAGGTTTTTCAATTTTAGTCATGCCTCATCTCAACAGAAAAAAAATTCCTTAAATTGAGATAAAATTGTGTTATGATTTTATAATTTTTATATTTGTTTTTGGAAAATTTAAATTATGAATCTTTGCAACATAAAAAATATGTATAAATAGTGTAAGCTACCAAATTTATTAAGCCAAGCAAGAAGTCGAGGGAGAAAATGTAGCATACAAAAAGTTCTATATATTTTAATGGTTTTTTAATCATAGTTTGGATTAAAGTCAAGTGCTGTAAAGTTTATCTTGGGTTATGCTCATATTTTAAATTTTATTATAGTTGGTTAAAATGATAAATTCAAATTCATATTTTCCCTGGTCAAGGAGAATAAAGGAATTTAAAAATATTTTATAGAGATGTTTGATTGAATGGAAATTCAAGTGTACAGTTGAGTATCCGTATCCATGGGTTCTGCACCCATGAATTAAACCAACCACAGATAGAAAATATTTGAAAAATTAGAAAAGGGTGGTTGTGTCTGTACTGAACATGTATAGATTTTTTCTTGTCATTATTCCGCAAACAATGCAGTATAATTACTATTTACATAGCATTTACATTGTAGAAGGTATTAAATTAATTTAGAGATGATTTAAAGCATACAGGAAGGTGCACATAAGTTATATGCAAATACTATGTTATTTTATGTAAGGGACTTGAGTATCCATGGATTTCGGTATCTATCAGGGATCCTGGAACCAATCCCCAAGGATATAGGGGGATGACTGTATATGCTTATTTTATTAATTCATACTGTTGCTTAACTTAATCCTATGCAAAATGTGAAAATTCACTTTTTTAAAAGTTGTGTTTGCTTTTAAATAGTAATTGTAGGCAAATGCTTTTCAGTTTTTTCTGAGGTGATTTATTTTCCTGAGTAAGAAAGGGGCTCTGCTCTCTTTGTTTTTATTTTATTTTATTTTATTTTTTGCTAGAAATACAAACTCAATTCATTCAAATTCAGGCTCATCCAGACCCTGGTCACAAACCCCAGCGAGGTGCATATGAGCACCAAGTCAGGGAGAGGGGGCAGGAGTGAATCTGAGGCCTGCTCTCTTTGTTTTTAATCAAACTCCAAAAAAAGAAAAAAAATGTACTTAGTATCCCCATTTCTCTGTATTTGCTTTTGTTTCTCTGTTTAGAGATAAATGCAGAATATACTGTGTACTTATATAGTAGGGTGGTATTAGGTTTTTTGTGACAAATAAGTATTGGTTTTAAAAGGCTTTTGAAAAATACTTCTGTTAGGAAATGTCAGAATTTTCCTAATCTAATTACTGCATTTAAATGGAAAATAATGAACTTTTAAGGTTTTATGTTATATTTTGAATAGATGGCTTCATATAGAATGAAATGTTTTAAAACAGTATGTTGGTGTCTGGTTCATTTTATTTTTCAAATTAGCAAACGTGTGCCTCCTTGCAGTTCCTCTTATGAAACACTCCTCCCTCAAGGGGTGTTTGCTGTTCCTCAGCCTGGAATATTCTTCCTCTAAATATGCATATAGTTATTCTTTCCTGTCACCTTATTAATGAGGAATTCCCTAACCATATAAGTATTAACCACACCCACCTCTCCCAGGTCTCTTACTATCCTTTGTTTCTCCAACATAGTTTTTACCGTCTAGTATGTTATATTTCTATGCGTTTATTGTTTATGTGACCCTTCTACTCCATAGAGTGGTTACAGGAACTTGGTTTACTTTGTTAATAGCTTTATTCTCAACACCAGAAACAGTACCTAACACACAATAGGCACTCAGTAAATATTTTTGAATGTATGAATTGCAGATACTGGCTTTTCTTCTTGTACTTGAGTTAATCTTATATCTGTTGGTACTAAACTTAAATGTAAATATTTGCTTTTAATCCTATATTGACCCTATCTTTCTTTAATATTGTTTGTTATTTTTAATAGTAATAACATATAATTTTAGGTGACAGAATGTCTTATGATGTAGGAGCTATACTCAGATTATACTGGTATCTTGTAGGAAGAAAAAGAATTCTTAAGATTCTTAAATTTGGAAAAGGTTTTAGAGATCTAGACAGTATCAGAGAGACAGGCAGTAGGAGAGGAGAGTCTATCTCAGTCTAGTAGGACTGATAGGGGAATGTTTGATGGCCTCTGAGGATTGTGTGGAAAGCCATGCATTTTAGATATACAGATGGAAAATAAACACATGAAAAGATATTCAAAATCATTAGTCATTGGGGAAATGTAAATTAAAATGACAATGAAATACCACTACACACCTATTAGAATGGCTCAAAAAACCCTTCTGGACCTTTCTCCCTCCTCGGTAGGCTCAAGACTCAGGGATGGTGCTACCACAAGCCCAGTAGCTTTAGGAATTAGGAAGAAGGATAAGAGAGCAGTCTGTTTAGAAGAACAGTGTTTTCTCAAACTAGTTTAAGGTATTGACCCCTTTTAAATGCAGATAATATTCTCATGAACCCCCATTGCTGTCTTCAGTTTTATTTTAATATCACAGAAATATATAGAATTATAAGATTAGCTAATAACTTTTTATATTGAATCATACTTATGAAACCATAAAACTGGATAGCATTTATGAGCAACGCAGTATTGTTCAAATTAATTATGCTAACTTATAGCATAGATGATAATTTGCCAAATTAAATATTGCTTATAATATACATATATTAATTTATCTCAGATAAGATTCTTTTGGAAAAAAATATATATCCCTATTGTAGTTCATGTGATGACTCAACTTTCCCACCTTTCTCTATTTGAACTAGTAAGTACTACAAAACCTTTTATTTAAGAAGGGTAACTTCATTTGACTCTCTGGTGGGCATGAATGTGTTTAAGTTTTAAGTCTGCCATTGTACTTTTCTACATTTGTCCCTGACAATGAGAGAGGTACTAATGGATATCACTTGATTGAAAGCAGACATATTAATATCTTATGAAAGTTATTAATATCTTATGGAAGTTTTTAATTATCAGATGGCTACACTAATATTTTGAGACTATCATTGAAATGAAAACATAAAATTAAAAAATTCTCACATTTTATAGACCTTTGAATATGTTTAGACTGCAATTTGAGAGACATAGTTGTCGAAGTCCGGTAGAATCATTTTTTCTGAAGTGTATGGAGGAGGTATAAAGGATACTCTGCTATTGAAATAGAAGATGCAGAACCTTTGTCTTTTTAAAGCATGTTCACACTAGTATTATGAAAATATACTTACTGTGTATGTCATATTTACATCCATTTGAATATTTTTATTTTTTAAACATAAATTGAATTTTTTATGCTTGCTGCTGAAACTCTTACCCTTTTTTTTAAGTTGGCCTTTGTAGTATGTTATTTTAGTTGTGTTCTTTTTATTTGTTTTCTTTTGTTTTCTAGTTTAGAGTTTTTTAAGTTGTTAGAATAAAAGAGAATGAAAATACATTACTTAGATAATAGGACTTTAACCTTTGGAAGATTCTTTGAAAGTGCTTTTTTTTTTTTTTTGAGACAGTCTTTGAAAGAGCCTTTAACCTGTATTTTTGAACAGGCAAATAAAGAGGCACAAAATGCCAAGTTCCAAATTTTTACTGTTTCAGAGAATTTAATAAATTAGTTTCAGTTGGTGGTATATGAGTAGTATTGAACTTTTTTGTTTCTTACCCCTCTATCTTCTTCTACCTCCTTCATTTCTTGATATTGTG